GRATCCTGCTATTAAAACTTCTCGAAATGGCTTTCGTGATTATGTTAGTTTTGTCGATGTTTATACTCTCATTTACTAGTTGGCTATAAAGTGGATTTTGCGTTATTTGAAGGGYTCTTCTACATTTGATCTTCTTTTAAAATGCCTTTCTCATCTAATTTGTGTCCCCATACGAATATTAAATAGGTTTCATATTCAGGTGATCGAAATAATTGCTTTAGAGGAAATTATGCTSGACGATAAAAAATATTACATATATGTTTTTTTTAAAATATTGGCATTTTTTATCTTTTTGAAAAATGTCATAAACTTGACTTTTTTCCTACTCGTGTGATATTTGTTTGGATTGAATTAATATCAAATTATGCTATTAGCGTAGAATTTTAAACTTATTGTTATATTTAAAAATACATATTTATATTTTGTCATTTATGTAATTTCCTCAAACTTTTATTTAAGAGTATTAAATTTCTATCAACATTTCCATTTATCTTTGGATTTTGACACCGATGTGATGAGTGAATCGATATTATGATATCGTAAAAAAATTGACATAATATAGAAAAAATCAATAAAATATTACTAATATGAATGTAGTACACATAATAAATTTCAACTTATTTCAACTTATTTGAAAAGAGTTAAATATTTATTTCATTATTTTAAATATTTAATATGAATATTTTTATTATTATAATTTTTCCAAAAATAAAAAATCTTTCGAGATCAATATTTTCATAAAATTGAAACCTTAACATTTTCGTCGACATTTAATACCTTGTTTTTATCTATTAATTTAAAATCAATTTTATATTTTTATGATTTTTTTCTCCATAAAAATGATTTCAAATCTTACCCAAAACATAAAATTTTATCATTGAATGGGGATTCCACTTTGTAAAATGGTTGTAGGGAATAACTTATTAACTTTACTAATGAGTGGAGTCCACCTTCATCCATTAGGAAACAAATGTATTATGAGTACTCAAAAAAAAAAGAAACGTATTATGATATATAATTATTTTATTAAAGATATATATGAATTGGGATGAATGGCAATTGACACTAATATTAGACTAAGAGACCTTGAGTTTGAACTCGACTCTCATTTGTTGTAGTATATGTTCTTTTGTTGAGAATCAATCGAATGACGATTTTGTTTTTAAAAATTATATTTATTTTATCACAATTTCTTAAATAGATAGTTTTCAAATTTTGATTTAGATTTTGAAAACATAGTTACAACAAAACAGAAACCGACGTAGAAATCATACTTGTACCATTAATTTTCAAAAATAGAAAATAGAAAATGATATAATTATCAAAATAGGCTTTATTATTATTATTATATTTTGTTCATGGGTATAAGTATTAAAAAAAAAACCTAAAATAGAATCATTAACACAACTCTTAACTCTTAGTTGTTTGACATATTTTTATTTATGCAACGAAATTTAGTAAGGTCAAACCTAGTCAAGGTATGGCGGTGAGAATAGCTTGAGCACCTTGATAAAGAAAAGACTTGCATAAGAGAGGCTAACATTCCGACACTCAAGTTAGTTTACGCTCGGATTTAGGGAGTTCGAGATAGAATTCGATACTTGATACGGAAATGTGACCCTCTATTTATAGATTGGAAATCCGACGGGTAGTTATTTATGTCGCTTCGAAGGTCGGACGTGTCGGGTGCCTAATGTCAAACCTAGATGTCAGCCACTAGCTCTGTAGGGAAGTGTCTCTGTAGTGTTCCACAGTAAGTAAGACAGGTCGAACCTRTCCGAGACGGTTCTCTTGTAAGACCTGGACCTTATGGACTTTCCTGTGTGATATCTTAAAATATTTTTAGAATAAGATTATATATATTGTTTGAGTACAACACTTGGGGTGGATGATTAAACTTACTTGTTTTTGCAAAATAAGATTATATGGTAAATACTAATTATATGTAACCAATTAATTTACATTTTAGTGGGACCATTTATTTATACTAACAACATGAATATGATCCATCTTTGTTTTGGGATTGGGTTGGCATCTTTTCTCTAATTGGTCACTTTAAAATATGTGGAATCCACTTCTAATGTGTCACTACTTATTAAAGGAGGCTCATACATTCATTTTTTTTAATTGCTTGTTAACTTTTGGTTTGTTTTTGACTTTGATAAAATTTGTGATTCCTTTTTTCAATTTCCAACTGGTAAGAAATAGATATTTTTCTAGTTGATGCCTACTGTGTTTTTCTTTAATCTTTTTCTGATTTTTCATAATGGATGACGTGTGGTTCAAGAATTCCTGTAATTGAGATTTGTGTTGTGACCAGTGCAGTGTTTGAAACCTCAATGCAGGTAGTAACCCAAGATCCTAAGAGTGTGCAACTGCATCATTTCCGTTTCTGTCGCTAATATGCAATGAAAGCCTGTTTGAATCGTTGAATTTCTTAGCGACACGTATTCTTCGACGACAAAACTAGCGACACATTGCGTTTCGTCGCTGAAACACATCAGCGATGAATTTTAGGCTTCAGCGATGAAAAATTTTCATCGTTGAAAGTYTTAAATTTTGTAGTGAGATATTTGATGCCTACTCTTTATGTCTCATCTATATATGCATACATTGCGTTGAAATAAACGTAATCAAATACGTTATGCACATCAATTAACGTAAGAGGAAAATTATCCGTCCATGAAATATTTTTTTAAAAATACTTTTATTATTATTATTATTTTGAGTTAGAGGTGGGAATTCAAACTTTTGATTTCATTGGTTGAGAATATAAGTCTCAACTAACTAGTTGAATTATGTTCAGATTGAAAAATTGTTCCTCCTCGGGAATGAAATCTTTTATGAAGAAGATTATTAATTAAGGTAAAACTTTCATTTTAAATACTATATATTATGGATTTTTAAACAAAAAAAAAAAACTTATTTATTTATTTTTGTGATATCAACTTTTTAGTTGATATATATGTCATGTGCATGAGATCATAAGCATCAATTATTTCATCTTTAGAAGCCATCAATGGGTGGACCAATAATACTTTTTTTATGACATATTCAAGCTGATAGCTAGGTCACTTCTAAAAGCATAAACCAAAATCCCTTTAAACAAAAGCATATTGCATATTGATGTTGCCTCAAACAAGAAAATGATATTCAAATGAATTGACTTGTCCTACTCTACTTGATTTTATCTTTTAATGAAATGTATCGATCAATAATCGCAAAAAAAAGGAAAAGATTTTCACGTCTAAACACCAAAAACGATCAAATTATCATTTTATGTTATCAATCAAGATTTTAAATGTCAATGTTAATGGAAATGTCAAGATCTTAATTTTATGAAAGCGTCGATATCGATAGATATTTATGAAAAGATTATAAAAATAAAAATTGATCAGAATTATTTAAATCAACATTATTTCAACTTTTATAAATAAGTTTAAAATGATTAATATTAATATTATGTCTATATTAATGGATCAATAATATTTGGTTGGTTTTTTCTTATTTTATTGATTTTTTTTTGCAATATATGGAAATATTGATAAAAATGTCGACGGATATTATCATATTGCTTTCTACCTATCATCAACTCATGGTGGATGATTAAAAAATCTATCTTCATTGCTCAATTATCCCGTCTCCTAAACAAACACTCAAAAACCATTTGGAGCCAATTCAAAATCTTTATGGTTTTAATTATAGTAAGATTTTGAAACTTTAGCATTAAAAAAGTATTTATCCTTTTAATAGAACAAGATATGTTATTACATATGTTTGTTAAAATTATTTTTTTTTTTAGTACAACATATTAGGGAAGAGATTTGAACTTACAACCTTGTGGTCGGAAGTATATGTCAATTATCGTTTAGCTATGCTGGCTTTGGCGTTAAAATTATTCTTAGTTAACTTCAACAACAATATGAATTTTCTATGCTCTTTTATTTTTTATTTTTTTTAAGAAAAAAAATATTTTTCTACTTCTGAGAGGTGGCCTTAAATTTAATTTTTAAATCTAGCTTGGTGCTAAATTTTTCAAACATATGTTATAAGAATAATATTTTTATTACAATGGATCATATCTGTTCCTTTTATATATATATATATATATATATATAATCAGTATGGGTAATAATCATTTGAAAAAAATATATTTAAATAATAAAGTTGAAGCTAAAAGTAGACGAGTATTGTTATCTTTATTAAAAAGAAACAAAAAGTTACATTTTCCATTATTCATGCTTTCGTATACTAAAAGTTGCAAAAACCAATCAAAGCTGCCACGTCATACTTCTAAATGGAAAGTTTGTGAAGATTTGTTAAAACAACTCACCCTGTTCAAGGTTCAATCTTCCATTTCAGTATTTGTTGTACTAAAAACAGATATAGTCATAAAACAGGGCATCATCACTAATTTTTAAATTTTTAGTCAAATTTCAAAAACAAAAACAAGTTTTTAAGATCTAATTTTTTTTCTCCAAAATTTTGCCCTATATTAAAAAAATGTTTATAAAAATATGTACATACATGCAAGAAATATTTTTTAAAACAGAAAATCTAATATCTCATTTGATATTATTTCATTTTTACCTTTATATTTTTAAAATTTAATTTTCAAACGTAGAAAATTAAAAGTAAAGTGGTTATCAAATAAAACCTAATCTCCGCAAATCCATGGTAAAAACAAAATGATTATCAAACAAGACCTAACTCTCGAAGACCGATGGTTTGCTAAAAGTTTAAATATTTGTGTTTAAGAGACGTGAAAAGCATTAAAATAAAAAAATAATATAAAACTAAAAACGAAATGAATGTATGGAATAGATGTTATAATTTCATTTCTAAGTATATAATTAATGTTATAATGTTGTACTATAGACCTAAAAAGTCATCCACTAGTGAGTTAAAAAAGAGGCCACCATGCATAAATAATTGAGGCCTTTGCTGCCTTTTTTTAATCTCTTCAGCTCTTCTGCGCTATTTAGTTTCATAACCATTCTCCTACCACATCTACTTGGAAACTGTAAGTAATATTTCTCTCTCTTTCTCTCTCCTCACAAAATTGAGAATCATCTCCATTCAAAAGTGGTTGTCAACTTGAGCACAATTCAACTGTGTTGTTAAGATACTTATTTCCGATCCAGAAGAGATTGTAAGTTTAAATCCCATTTTAAGTAATATTTTTCTCTCTAGAATCATCTCTGTTTAAAAGTTTGAATTTTGTTGCGAACTCGAGCATAGTTCAACAGAACTAGTTGTTAAGATACTTATTTCCGACCCACAGATTGCATATTTAAATCCCACTTTTTTTTTGTTATATCGAAGGAAAAAAAAGTGTGAATTTTGTTGAAGGGTTTTTAATATTATGTGTTAAATGTTCTCTCTCATCCTTTCATTTTTACTCCTAATTAATTTAATAAGGTGTCTAAGTTTCTATCTTATGCTTTTAATCTTATCAAAAAGATCGAGACTACTGTTGTAATTTTTATCTTTTATTTAATTTTCACCGTAGACACCACTAGTTTTAACAAAAAGTAAGGTCAAATTCAGCCAAAAATTCACTAATTCACAAAAAAATAAATAAAGATAAAAGTAAAGAAAAAGGTCGTACACAAAAAATTTAGTATGATTAATACACGAAATCTACTGTTGAATCAACTTCCTAGAACTCACAAATTTTACTTTGGTGTGTAGTAGTCATAGTTCTGAGTGTTAAATGTTCTCTCTCTAAACTATGATTCTCTACAATTAAGTGATTTTTGACATGAATAATTGTGAATTTCACTCGTTTTCTTTTTTCAATCCAATATTAYGTAGAGGTGGAAATTCAAACCTACAATCTTTTTTAGGTTTGAAGATGATTTAATTAATAATATTGTTTGTTTTTATATGTCAATTACKGCTGTATACTCGTTTTGTGTGAATATATAATTCTTTTTACTGCAAACAAATGTGAGGGTGAAATTTTGAATTTTAAATTACAAATATTTTAACGGGTGGATCTAATGAATTAGGATAAACAAACTTGCATATGGTTTTTTTAATTATGAGTTATACAAAATTACTGTATAAATCTAGAAAAAAATACAAAAATGAATCTCTTCATTTTCAAATAAAAGATTAGATATAATTAAAATTTTTGGGAAACTATTTTCTAAATAGTTCTCTGTCTTTTTTAAACTATTTCTTAAATTTTGAACGATGACTTCTAAAGTTGTAGAATAATTATATATACAAAAATCATTATATTCATATATATACTGATAATTCTAAAAGATAAAGCAACTTTATTTGTTTTAAAAACCAATTTTGGTACGAAATGACATAAAGAACATAATTTTCGTAGAATGATCAAGAGAAAAAATAAAGAAACATTTATTTTTTTGCCCTTACTAATGGGGGCTGCCTCTTAGAGAGGCACTTATCTCTCTGTCAATATTTGAGTTTTGATTTTAATGAATTAATATTTGAGTTTTGATTTAATGAATTTTTAACTTAGTATGATTTGAATAAATGGTAAGATTTTCATTTGTATGAAAATATAAATATTTTTAAAAAAATTATGCAAATTATTAAAGTTAAAAAGTAGGTATGTTACACTTTTCTTTTCTCTTAAAAAAAGGTTACCAATCTTTGGAGATGTTGGAATGATTTCAATAAAATGTTTGTTTAATAAAGAAAGTTCATTCCAAGCTGTTTTAAACTTTTTTAGATTGTTTAGAACCCTTCAAACTTTGTCCTTTTTGTTTAGAGTTTTGATATACTCTTTCTTTTTAATCCTTAATCAAGATGAGATACTATATTTTTAAAAATTAAAATATGATATAATTTTATGAGTGTATAGTAATCATTTACGAATTTGAATACGAACTCGAAGGGAGTTCAAATCTCTTTATTTGAATCCAATTTTTCTTCGGTTGAGAAAAGGCAGATTCAAACTACTTTAAAGAATATTATTAGTATCTTAATGTTTATGTTGGTCTTTGAATTCAAAATCTTAAAAAATAAAATATTGAATTCGAAATTCATTCTATTCTCCCCTCAAAACTTTAATTTTAATAGTAAAAATTATTTCTCTCTCTCTYTTTTTTTCCCTTGATAGTTGTCTCTCTCTTTGAGTGAACATAAAAAAGATAGCATATTTATACTCTCTCTCTCAAACTTAGATCTAGTTAATAGTAAAATGTAGTCCTCTTTTGAGTAAACAAATAAAGATTGTGCATTTGTATATACTCTATATCTCTAAGGAAACTTCAAAAAGATTACATTTCATAGTATATAATACTCACTTGATTCTTTTTAAACAGCATCATAAGCTTTCATATATTTAATTCCATATCTTCCCTCCATATGAACTTGAGCTCTTCAATTTTGAGAAGATGGATCAGATGGGTGGGACAACGAATGGGAGGGTGTCACTAAGAACTGAACTAGCCGAGATAAGAAGAAGCTTGAAAAGTAGCTCATCAGACAATGATAGTAATGACGTTGAAGATGCGTCGCTTTGGGCAGCGATCGAGAGATTGCCGACATTTGAACGAGTGAGATCGTCAGTGTTCGACGACATTAGCAGCAGAGGAGAGGTCAAGGAGAAAGGGAGAAGAGTCGTGGACGTTACTAAGCTTGATGATCAAGAGCGTCATCTCTTCGTTCACAAACTCATCAAGCATGTTGAGAGTGACAATCTCAAGCTCTTAAGAAAAGTTAGAGAGAGAATTGACAGGTAATCTCATTTTCTCTCTTTGATCGTCATGATATGATGTTGTGTGGTCCCTTGTTCTAACCCCTCAAATAATTTCTTCTATCTATAAATTTGATTTTTCTATTTATATTTTGAGCTTTGTGTAAAAAAATAAAATAATTAAGTTTTTGAAATTTAGATTATATAATTTTATTTAGTCAATATATTATTGACCCAACTTAATGGGACATGTCTAATAAATTGATTTGAGTTTTGTTGGTAGAGAAAACATATTTTAGTAATTAATAGTAGTAGAATTAAATATATTCAAATTTCAAGGAAAAAATCTAAAAAATTTAGAGTATTGGGAATTAAATTTATAATGTTTAATCGTTAATGAAGGTAATTATTGTAGGGTTGGTGTGACATTTCCGAGTGTGGAAGTGAAGTATAAAAATGTGCATATTGAGGCTGAGTGCGAGGTTGTTCATGGGAAAGCCATTCCAACACTTTGGAATTCTCTTCGAACCAAGCTTTATGTGAGTTATTTTTTTGGGTTAAATTATACCATTATTAACCAAACTTTGGTGATTATGTTTATTTAATCTATAGACCTTTTTTTTTTTTTTAATTTCTTGGAATTGATGTTGTGTGGCTTACATGTGGATATCCTTAAAATCGGGGATTGTTTACTAGATTGAGCAACATAGTGACCAACCTTCCAGGCTCAAGACTCTTGCCACTGTGCTGTCTCCCAGGGACTAGTCTATATACTTTAAAAGATAAATTTCAATTTTGAATCTAACAAGTTTCTATTAATAATTTAGTTAAATGCTCATGTATGACGCCCCGATTGAACTAAAGAGTGATGGTTTGACACATCATGGTACAAGGAAGAGTAGACTAGCTAGACTAGCGGTAGAATATTTTTTTCAACTGATTTTTTGTTGTTTCATATCTATGACCTTATGTTATTTATATACTTTTATTTCCTTGTGTTACGTTGTGTCAAATCATCACTCCTTAATGTTATGCGGATGACAATGTTAATATTTAACTAATAATTTCAATTACCTAGACTTATTAGAATAAAAATTAAAAGTCAATAGACCGATTGAATTTGTTTAATGTTCATAGACTAAATAGACATATCATGAAATAATAATAATAATTAACTAAATAGCTATCAAATTTTTAACTGCGGTTAACCCCCTCAATGTTTGGTTCCTTTATTAATTTGTGGAAACTAGTTTCTCATTTGTTTTTTGCAATTTGTTTATGTTATTTTGTTAGGACATCATCAAATTTTGTGGTGCAAAGTCCCATGAAGCTAAAATTGACATAATTGAGGATGCCAGCGGTGTCATTAAGCCAGGGAGGTACCCTGCATTTAACTATTTTTATTATTTTTTTACTTCCTTTGTGTAATTTCAACATAATTCAAGTAATTATTATTATTTCTAAAATTGATGGTTCTGTCATTAATTTAAATAAAAATTATAAATTAATGTATGACACAATTTTCTCTAAATATTTTATAATTTTTAAAAATTTCAAGTATATCTCTTATTTAATCATGATTATATGTTGTTAATATTTTATGTTGTTGTTGACTTTAAACATCTTTTAATATGCTTGATTTTAGAGCTAGACTCGAGTGTTTGCAGGGTTGGATTTGAAAGTTTATTTCAACTCGATAAAATTAAAATTTTAAAGTTGAAATTAATTTACTCAACTAAAATAGGGAGGTGAGATAAATTAAAAATAAAAATAAAAAGTTTCAGCAATACTTAAAAGCAAGCAATTTGTTTCAGGTTAACTCTGCTTCTTGGGCCTCCAGGATGTGGAAAGACCACACTACTAAAAGCCCTCTCTGGAAATCTTGACAAATCTCTCAAGGTTATTATTGTCTTTTACCTTCTTTGTTTTTATTTTTTATTTTTTTGTATTTTTTCTTCTTGTATTAATATTTTTTTACCAAAAAGATGAGTGGAGAAATTTGTTACAATGGACACAAACTTGAAGAATTTGTCCCACAAAAAACTTCTGCATACATTAGTCAGAACGAACTCCACATTGCTCAGATGACTGTTAGGGAAACTCTCGATTTTTCGACTCGATGTCAAGGCATCGGAAGCCGAGCAGGTGAGCTTCCTAAATTTTTGTTACTATGTCTAAGAATCGATAATGTTCATGCTTCTTGCTTTCTCGTTCTTTTATTAAATGTTTTTTGAATTAAAACAAAAGGTTAAGTTACACGTTTTCTTGTTTGAGCGTGTGTTTAATTTTTCAATTTAAGCTTTTATTGTTTATAAGTTTCCAATTTGATCGCCAATCATAATACTCTTTGTGTCTATAAATGTTAGAAATTTATTGTTAAAACTCTTATAACCAAGAAATAGGCACCAAGAATGTTACCAAATAGTCCACTAAACTTCAGTAATAATGCCCGAGGTCGAAAATTAATAACATTTTTGTGGTGGTTTTGCTCTCACAACAAAGATTTGATGAAGGAAATTATTAAAAGAGAGAAGGAACAAGGGATTATTCCGGACTCTGATGTTGATACTTACATGAAGGTAACTAAATACCTCTTTGTTTGATGTATTAGTGATGCAAAAATCGTTCACATCTTCGGTGAAAACCGTATATACTTTTCTTTTAAACAGGCCATTTCAGTTCAAGGATTAAAACGAAACCTTCATACGGATTATATACTCAAGGTCAATTCTCTTTGTGCCAAATCCGACTTCATTATTTTACACTAAACTTAGTTTGATCAATTGGTTGATTATAATTTTAAAAAGTTTTTAGGTTCGTTAGATTGAATGTTGAAACTTTAGTAAGTCGTGAAATTAGTACTCTTTTCGATAAAATATCTAAAATTTAGTGATAAAAATGTCTAAACTCGCACTAGATCACGGGCACAAAATCAAATAGCGCCAACAATAGGTTTAAATCAAGTGATGATAAAAATTTGACATACTATCAACAATCGTAAAAATAACTTCCCTACTGTAAGATTTTCTTTTTTTTTTCTTTGAGTTCAACGATATTTAAAAGTGAGGATTCGAACTTCCAACCTCAAGATAAAGAGTAGGTGTCAATTACCGCTGAGCTATATTCCGCCACAAAATTTCTACACCTAACTACAATGCTCAAAGGAAAAAAAAAGCCACATCAATTAATAATGGTTCTAAATTAATTTCACCCTAGTTTAAAAGATCAAAACATGAGTTCTTAAAATCTTTATTATTTTAATTTGATTAGGATTTCAAGAAATTTTCTATTTTTAATTTTAATAAAAGTAATAGAATAAATAAAGTATAAATAAACTACGTTAAAAAAATTTGCCTAAATTTTATTCTCATAATTAACTGAAAAAAAAGTTTACAAGTTGTTTGTATTTCAGATTCTTGGACTTGATATTTGTGCTGAAACTCTAACTGGAGATGCCATGAGAAGAGGTATTTCAGGTGGTCAAAAGAAAAGATTAACCATAGGTAATGTTGGAAATCATGTTAAAAAATAATTCACGGATCTATTTGACACTTTATAAAGTTAGACTTATTAGATACAATGTATCAAACACGTCCAAAATTTGATGCAGCTTGTATTTCCAATGTGAGAAATGAAAGAAAGTTGAAATTATATATGCAGGGGAAATGATTGTCGGTCCAAAGAGAGTCTTGTTGATGGATGAAATTACAAATGGATTGGACAGTTCCACTGCTTTTCAAATTGTTTCTTGTCTGCAACATCTAGCTCATTTTACAGATGCTACATTACTTGTTTCTCTTCTTCAGCCAGCTCCCGAAACCTTCGATCTCTTCGATGATCTAATCTTGATGGTGCAAAAGAAGATAATATATCACGGTCCTCGCGATCAAGTTCTTCAGTTCTTCGAGAATTGCGGGTTCAAGTGCCCCGAAAGGAAAAATGTCGCAGATTTTCTTCAAGAGGTCGTCTCGAAAAAAGACCAGCCACAGTATTGGTATCGACACGACGAAGCTCGCTACACATATGTCTCGAACAATACATTTTGTAGGATGTTCAAGTCATCGAGTTTAGGAAGGAAGCTCGATGAGGAGGTCTCGCAACCTTATGACGACAAAACCAAAAGCAAGAGAAATGTAAGTTCTTCTTTGGGTGTAGACAGTGTTTCTAAATGGCAAGTGTTCAAAGCTTGTGCATCGAGAGAATTCCTCCTCATGAAAAGAAACTCATTTGTCTACGTGTTCAAAACTAGTCAGGTTAGTGCTTTTAATTCTACTTAATTGTGAAAATTTTGAATAGTACTTTTCAACCCACCTTCGATTTTTTTTCTTCTCGTTTTCTCGAGCAGCTCTTCTTCCTGGCTTCGATCGCAATGACGGTTTTTTTGAGAAGTCAAATGAAAGTTGATCTTCAACATGCTAACTACTACATGGGAGCCCTGTTTTATGGACTCATAATGTTGGTTTTTAATGCGGTTCCAGAATTGGCATTGACAGTTCAAAGACTAGAAGTTTTCTATAAACAAAAAGAGTTGAAGTTTTACCCAGCATGGGCTTATGCAATTCCAGCTGCCATTTTGAAGATCCCTTTTTCACTTGTTCAAGCATTAGTATGGACATCTCTTACTTATTATGTCATTGGTTATACCCCTGAATTCAGCAGGTTTGTTTCACTCCTTCAAATTCATCTTTTGTTTAATAACGTTCAAGACGTTCCTATTTCTTGTTCGTGTCGGTTACTTTTGGTTTTTAAGGGAAAAAAATGATGGACTATTCTAGTTCCCTCGAAAGTTGCAAATTCAAAATCCACGCCTTCTTTTAATTAAAGTTTTGAAAATACTCCAGCTTTTATTTCTCTTAAATTTTAATTTTTATTTGAAATTTAACTTTTAAAAATAAAATGATATTTTTAGAAACAAGAAAACACGTTTTTTTTTTTTATAATTTTGAGTATGTTTGTTAAATAAAAATAAAATAGGTGATAGAAAGGAAAACGTTTAACGCTAATTTTAGATCTAAGGGTAATTTTGAGTATGTTTGAAATTAAAATTAGTATTTTTTTAATACATAATTGAAGGTGGGGATTTGAACTCATAATCTGCAGAGATAGATGTTAAATATGGTTGAACTAGGCCGACGTGTTAGAAATTAAAGTTAGCAATGAAGCAAGAGATCCTAAATTTAGAAAATGAGATCAAAGCCTAAGTTTAAACTTTTAACATTTTTGGTCTAACGTTAATTGAACACTTTTGTTTTTTTAGGTTCTTTCGACATTTTCTTGTTTTATTTGCGGTCAATATATTGTCATTATCGATGTTTCGACTACTAGCTTCGGTGATCCGAAGCATTGATGTTGCTCCCTCAATAAGCAGTTTTACATTATTGCTAATCTTGACATTTGCTGGCTTCATCATCACACATAGTAAGTTTTGTGAATCATTTCTTTGATTTGATTTATATAAATTGGCATAAGGCTCAATAATTGAACTATCAAATATTAATCACAAAGACAAAGATATCTTAGGTTGTCTTGATGCCATGTTAAATTACTACTAAACTCAAAAAGTTAAGAAACAAAATTGCCATATAGTTAATTTTCTTAAAATCTTTTTAAATAAGAGAAATTTATTATTATTATTATTATGATTATCATCTTTTGCAATTTTGCAGCCTCCATGCCAGCTTGGATGGAATGGGGATTTTGGGTTTCTCCTATTAGTTATGGAGAAATTGGCCTTTCCATCAATGAATTTCTTGCTCCAAGATGGCAAAAGGTGTTACCTTTAACATTTTTTTTTCTCTCTGTTCTTTTAATAAATTACAATAAGCCTTCTATGATTTGGATTTAATTTCGAATTTTTTTTAATGTAACAAATTAGAGATATGAGTTTCGAACCTCTAACCTCAAAGAAAGAAGTAGGTGTCAATTATCACTGAATTATGTTCATGTTGGTTGCTTAGTTTCAATTCGGTTGATATGCCTTAAATGTTTTAATTTGATTCCTATAGTTTAATTAAGTTCTTGAGTTTCTTCATCAATTGTACCAAAATTGTATACTAATATATTAAAAGGAAAATTTGAGAATTTTAAAAGATTTAGGAATTAGGAACAAATTGAGAATTATCTAGAAACTCTTTGGTCTATTTAGTCTACTTTCATTTACAACCACCATATATTTCTATTTTTAAGAAACCTAATAATCGATTTCATCTTGAATGTATTAAAAACTATTGTTTAAAAATTTCATGTTGATGTGCTACTTAACACATGAAATTGAACCTTGCCTATCTAAAATCTGGACAAAATTTCATGTCTTCCAACCACATGTTTAAATTGTATGTTACCAGATAAATTTTTTTATACATCAATACGTTAAAATTGAGAATTTTAAGAGACTGAAAGATCAAATTGAGAATTATCTCTAAAAGATCCATCCTTGTTAGATTTACTTAATACATAACATAACAAGTCTCTCTTTTATGATAAGTTGAATTATAAGTTTAGTCTCTGAATCTTGACCACAACTTTTTCAGTTTTGTATTTAATAGACCTATAAATTGTCGTAAAAAATATATTTAACAGATTTATTAGATACAAAATTAAAAATCTAAATACTTAGATTAATTAGACATTTTTAAAATTCGAACGTGTATCGGAAATAAAATAAAGTTTAATCATTCATAAACTTAGTTTAACGATAATTGACGATTGATCCTTACCAAAAAAAAACTTTAAAAAATAAATTGAAAATGACAGAGAAAATTATTAAAAATGAAATAACAAAAAGGAAAGTCGAAGACTCGCATTTTGTATGGATGAACAATGGCTTCCCTGCTCGCATTTTTCTGTAGAGGCAAAGCACGAACACGACGATAGGGCATATAATTCTTCAAAGTCGAGGACTCGATTTTCATCAATACTTCTACTGGATTTCACTCGGAGCCCTGTTCGGATTTGCAGTACTCTTCAATGTTGGATTCACATTGGCTCTAACTTTCCTCAACTGTAAGTTTCAATTTTCCATGTTTGAAGTTCTAATTCGAACTTCCTACTGCAAAATACGAACACTTCTCTCACACTCTCGATCTAATCTCAGCTCCTGGATCGTCTCGCGCAATCATCTCATATGAAAAGCTTGGACGAGCGAAGAGCAGTGAGGATTGCAATGGCGGTGCTAATTCTGTGGAACAGCAAGCTGCTTCTCCTAAGGCCGCCATAGAATCGAGCAAAGGTCGTATAATCTGTCCTTGTTTTGAACTCTGCAATTCTTGATTCAGTATTAATGTCTTCAAAGATCCCTAGTCGTGTTGGAAATCCCCTGTTTTTTCGCGAAAACACTGCTACTCTGAGAAACTTCCGAATTACTCTGTTTTTCTGCTATAATAACTTAACCGTCGGAATATTTTGGCTGTTGCTGTGAGTTTGAGATGGAGCAGGAGTATTGTTTTGATCCTTGTTCATGCGTATATTGTTCTGCTTTTCTTCTTGAGTCTTGCCTTGGCCTATTTCCCTCTTGATTGATGCTTTTTTCTTTTGATTTTTACATGRTCCGGTTGCTTCAAAACAACAGGCAGAATAGCGTTGCCTTTTACACCTTTAACAGTAGTGTTTCGAGATTTGCATTACTATGTGGACATGCCAGTGGTAATAGTCTCAAGACTCTTAACTAAATTAGCTTGTCTTTGAGACTGTTTTTGRAATATTTTTTTATTGGTTAAATTATAAATTTGGTCTCTAAACTTTGAGACTTGTGTCCAATAAGTCCTTAAACAATAAAAAGTGTCCAATGTATACTTCTAATAGTAATAGGTCCCTAAACTTTGAAACGTGCCTAATGTGTCTCAACTTTCAACTGTGAATCTAATAGGTCTTTGAATTTTCAATATTATGTCTAATAGATCCTTGATGTATTAGACGCAAAATTGAAAGTTTAGGGACCTATTGGACATTAATTGAAAATTCAAAGACTTTTTTAGACACATTTTAAAGTTTAGGTTCTTATTACGCATTAAATTGAAAGTTTAAGAACTTATTAGACACTTTTTAAAGTTCAGGAATCTATTAGGCATGACCTTCAAGATTCAGGGACCAAACTTGTAATTTAATTTTTTTTTCCCTTCTTATTTGGGCTGTAATAAATTTTTTTAAGAATTGTAATCGGTTGAGTTCTACAGTGAGACACGAATTTTTATTTGAATTTTGTTATGGAAAGTAGAAAACTGTTTTGAAAACAGTCTCTCGGACAAGCCCCATTTTCATGGTTAAAGCACAACTAACTTTTTATTTGGATTGTAGGCAATGAGAGAAAGGGGTTTCACCCAGAAGAAACTCCAGCTCCTTTCTGACATTACAGGGGCTTTAAGGCCCGGCATCCTCACAGCATTGATGGGTGTTAGTGGTGCTGGGAAAACAACTCTGCTTGATGTTCTTGCAGGAAGAAAAACAAGCGGATACATTGAAGGAGAAATAAAAATTGGTGGTTTTCCTAAAGTTCAAGAAACATTTGCCAGGATATCTGGTTATTGTGAACAAACTGATATACATTCTTCACAAATAACAGTGGAAGAATCTTTGATCTTCTCTGCCTGGCTCCGCTTGGCATCTAACATCGACTCAAAAACAAAAGAAGTATGGTCTTCTCTTACCCTCTTAAGATAAAACTGAAATGATTACTAGTTATTTATCACTAAGTATGGTTTTTTTCCCTCTTTAGCTAAAACTTAAATGGTTATTAGTTATAACACTGAGGATAATTTGTTTATGATATTGATTCTAGTTCCTTGTTTCATAGCAATTTGTCAATGAAGTCCTTGAGACCATTGAACTTGATAGCATAAAGGATTCCTTAGTTGGCATACCTGGTGTCAGTGGTCTATCAACCGAGCAGCGTAAACGATTAACCATAGCTGTGGAGCTTGTTTCCAACCCCTCCATCATCTTTATGGATGAGCCGACCACTGGTTTGGATGCAAGAGCAGCTGCAATTGTCATGCGAGCGGTCAAGAATGTGGTTGATACTGGAAGAACAATAGTTTGTACTATCCACCAGCCGAGTATCGACATCTTTGAATCATTTGATGAGGTAAAAGCTTCCTGCTGCTGCAATGCTCTGTTCTGACATTGAGGGATTTGTTGAAATTAAAGACAACTTTAAACGAAATCGATAAGCATTAGTTGTTTAGCTCATGTTGACGAGACAGCAGGAAAATATTTGATTTGATATTTCCCCTTTCAATCTTCTTTAACAATATTAAGGGTTATTTTGGAGGCTGTTTTCAAAACTACCATCACATGTCCATAAACTTTTAAAAGTAGTATTCAAGAGAGAATAACTTCTAAAAAATATACTTATCCATACATGCTTACATTAAATTTGTGTTATCAAAGCATAAAACTGTTTTTGAACGTTGACTTAATTTAGGCTGATTTCCTTTTCTATGTAGTTGATTCTTCTTAAAACTGGTGGTCATGTGATCTACTATGGACCACTGGGACGACATTCAAGTAAGGTCATAGAATTTTTTGAGGTCAGTCTACTCTACGACTAGCATTAACTAGCAATGCTGCTTGTGACTATATATTCCATCTTTTTTTCTAAGCATTTCRTTTTCATTTACACACAGCAAGTTCCTGGGGTTTCAATGATTAGAGAAAACCACAATCCTGCAACTTGGATGTTAGAGGTCACCTCTTCAGCTGCAGAAGCTAAACTTGGCATAGATTTTGCTCAAGTGTATAAGAACTCTGCTCTGTATAAGTGAGTTAAGCTCTACAATTATTTATTTCATTCAAATCCAAGTGCATAAGTTAGGATCTCCATTTGTGTTTGCTTTTAATCTTCAGCGAGCTAATAAGAAGCTAATTTGTTATGTACTGAGTATAAGAGTTAGAAACAAAAACATAAAACAAGCTTTTTCAACTACTATTGTTTTGCAGGAATAACAAAGAAATTGTGAAGCAGTTGAGTACTCCACCTCCTGGTTCGAGAGATTTGCATTTTTCAAATGTCTTTGCGCAAAGTTTTGCAGGACAGTTCAAGGCTTGCCTTTGGAAACAGAACTTGTCATATTGGAGGAATCCTTGTTACAACTTAACGCGTATTTTGTATACAATTGCATCATCTTTGGTTTTCGGGACACTATTTTGGAAGCATGGAAAGAAGCTGTAAGTATTTTGTGCATTTGTGCAACGTCTTAACTTTCTGAATGTGAAAGCTTTTGGTGCTATTCCGTTTCAGTTCTCAAAATACAATTAGGAGACTGATAAGCATGTGCAACCTTTTGTCTTTCTTTTTGTATTTATGGTTGAAGAGAAAACCAACAGAACTTATTCAATAACTTTGGTTCGATGTACTCATCCGTAAACTTCATCGGCATCCACAACTGCGCAACAGTCTTTCCTAATGTATCAAGGGAGAGAACTGTCATGTACAGGGAAAGGTTTGCTGGTATGTATTCGTCATGGGCTTATTCACTTGCACAGGTACATATTCATCTTAAGTAGTTCGATCTTCTGGATATTTATCTTTTGAGCTTTTATTTTTATAAAAATCAGCTTAATTACACCATAAAAGCAAAAGACTAAAAGCAAGGCCCAAATGAAAAGACAAGCTCAAAMGAGAAGGGCAATTACCATATTAAGAATCAACACCAACAAATAATTTTTAGAAACAGAAAAAGAAAAAGAGAAAAAAAAAATTTTCTTAAAATTCATGGCCTCGACTAATCTCACGAGAGGACCATCTGACCCTTCTTTATTTGGTTGTTAAGAAAATTCATAAGTACCATGGTTTGAATTAAATTCATTCTCTCTAAACTCTTTATTATTTTCATTGGTCCCATTGACTACTAGGTCAACCCATATGAGAGAAAAATGTGTGAGGAATCTTCCTGGTTCGTTCAGAAATTCCTGCCCCCTTCCTGGTTCGTC